GTCAAGCGAAACTGGCAGTGACTTAAAATTTCTTGACCCAAGGATCACCCAAGGATCAGGATTGCATTCCAAACATCAATAAGCAGCTTTTTTTTTTTTCGTTAGTACTGGATATATGACGTTGGCGAATTGACCGGTAGGACGTTGGCGAATCGACCTAAGACGTTGGCGAACGAGTCGTTGACGAAACGACTCGTTGGCGAAACGACCGCAATTCGTCAGTACTATCAGCATCAGTAACACGGAATTCCGCGACCTCTCACGGGACCACTCGGTCGCGCGGCCTCAAAGAGCCCAGGTCTTTACAAAACAGGTGTTTGAACGACACATTGAGAGAGTAAAGAGCTATCTAAAGACAACCAAAAAATACAATGACAGTAACAAGTGAAGCTAACCATGTCTTTTCCAGAACACGCCACAAGCACCGGAGTGACCCGATCTCCTGCATCATTAGCAATGACTTCTGTTCTCCCGTCCTTAAAGAAATAAATAAAATGAGTAACAGCATGTTTCAATACAAAGAATATAAATAGATCATTTCAAAGCAACTGATTTTCTACCTTGTAAATGGCCAAGGAAGCACAAGTGTATCCAAGATGAACTCCAATTGCAGCCGCCATGTTGATTTTCAAAGAACGAGAAAAGCTGGTGAGGACTCCGTCCAAGTCCCTTTCAGCAATCAACAGGTCCAGGGCACTCCGTTCAAGCATATGCCCAGTGGAATTATTTCAGTTAATTTACGAAACGGAGAACAAGCTTCTATTGTACAAACAAATCTTCGACATTTTTTCCCAAAAATTTCAGTACCATGCGATTATTCATTTACTTCAAGGAAACTTTTTAATTTTTGACGCATGGGACAGGTAGATTCCTGGGCTGAGATTTTCAGAAATTGATCAGAGGGATCGTTGCAAAACATTTCAACTGGTTGCATGATCTCTTACTAAAACCGCTTGATCAAATCACCTACAGACCTTCTGGGAGTTTAAAACTGTTTATTGGAAGAATTTTCAGTGAAGTTGCCCAAATATTCCCAGAAGCCTAACATGTAAATTCCCTTTTTAAATGTTGTTCCCCACAGCTTCTGGAACTTCCAGCTGAATCAGTCCATTTTTCAAAAATTTAATAGTTTTCGAATCTTCAGGAAACTTTTATTTCCCATTTAATTTCCTTACCGTTACAGCGGCTCCTATCTCAAAGGTTATTTCCCATATTTTTGGTAGAATGGAAAGTACCCAGTCTCATGTTGCACACAATCTGATACAGCCTTAATGAGTATTGTTCCCAGATATTCCTTTTGAAAGGGGGACAAGATCTAGGGCCTTAGGAGTAGGGGCTATTCAAGCTGAGGGGTGCAAGTTAGTTAGCCTGTGGGGGCATTCCCATATAAAGAGGATCTGAGTGCTCATTACACCTCTTAGGGGTTAAAAAAGCAGTTTTCATACCTCTTAGGCCATTCAGCCTCAAAAGGTCTCCAGCAGAAGCAGTCAGGGTAGCTTTTGGGAAATTGAGCCAAAAACATATGGCAGGAGATGTGTTGTTTTAAATTGGTACGTTTTAGGGGTTAAAAAAAATTTGAACCACACCCACAAAACAGGATCTTGGCACCTCTTATGGGTTCTTTTCAAAATTTCCGCAGAACACCCCCATCCTTGTCATACAAGAGCCCCTCACGGGTTTATTAGACCCAAACAAGGTTTTATTGTGCCAAAACCTGAGAGCCAAAAGAAGTCAAACACCACTCAAAGCAGCCCCAGAAGAGCCCCAATTGTTTAAAATACAGCCAGTAGGCAATTTAGCTTGGAGTATGCAAGACCAAGCCTCCACCAGCCTACTGTGTGGCTATTCCTACTCTGTCTCACTGGTAGAACATCCAACTGATGTGTTTTCAGGTATTTGCCCATTGCTGGAGGAGCTATTATAATCATTTTTTTTGTTCCAGTAGCTTGTGACACTGACTCATTTCTCTAGCTTAAAATACACTAATTTATTTATTCTTTTCCATACTTCAAACCATAAGTCAAATCTTGAATCAATCTTCATTTTCCTTATTCATAGTCATTAACATCAATTAATATATGTATCTATAATAATCAATTGTATTTACATTGTAAATTTTGTACATATAAATAAATATAAGACAGCTGGTAAACAGCACATAATGACTTCTATGAGAACAATGAATGGGACAAAAACTTCTTTTTCCATAAAAGTCATTTTGTATGTAATGGTCTGAGCCACAATTTATAAACCATAGCAACTAATCCTCATTTTGAAATGAAAAATTTGGGAAAACAATTTATAATCTCATAAATATAAAGAAAACATATGTATTAATCAAAAGATGCCAGTGAGGTCAGTACATCACATATTCTAAAGCAATTACCGATTGGGTCTTAACTGCCAAGTGAGCTCAACAGACTCATGATGCCATTTTTAAACACAGACTGAAACAGTTTTTACTAAACGATTTCTAACCTTAGTTAGTGATAAATGTTTTAAAAAATTTATTACTAACTAAGGTTAACTAAGATTAAAATCTTAGTTCTAGTTTAATCCTTAGGTGTAGTTTTTAGCTTTCATTACTATACTCAGTATTTTAGACTTTTAAAACATTTTAGACCTTTATTTTTTAGAGGACCCTCCTGGAGGCCTCCTCTTAAAATATTTTAAATTTATAATTTATATATAGAGCAGTTTTCAATTGAGTGTCGAAAGTAATTAGACAATTACTTTGGTTTTGGTTTCATTATGGTTTGAGATTGGCTGAATAGTCTAATTGGTAAGTAATTGGTTTGGTTTTGGTTTTCCATCATTCAAAAACCGCTCTATACTGTATAAATAGCAATAACAAATCTGCTAACATGCAATTGCAAGTTTTTTTTAATTCTCATGTCTTTTAGACATTTCACTAGAATCACTGCAACATAAGTCTACTGGAATACTGTTCCAAAGTCTTTACACAGCAAAAAGATGAGCTTACTGTTTTACATAACATGAAACTGTTGGTGCAACTTTAAAGCTATTTTCTATTTCACTCAACATCACAAAAAAAATGATCTAAAATTTGACGTCACTTCTTGATGTGGTAACCACAAACACAACTATAAATTGATGTTAAATTTCCATAGCTACATAGATGGTACATGTAATTCACACCCTGAGACTTCATCAACATTATACTGTAGTCCTAGTTTGTCTGATGATCTCTTTTTCTGACCCTCTTTTTAAATAGTTTCCTAAATCTAATCCCTCCAGGATTTCTTTGTTAGGAATTCTACAGGTAGCTGGAGGGCTAACCAAGTTAAGACCTCCTTGTAAAAGATAAAGAACAACGATTCCTGCAAAATGACCAACCAAGGCACTGGCTATCGGCAAATCTGAAAGCAAAGATAAAACAGAAACCATAAAATCCACCGTTTACCTTCTCATTAAATGTCACCTTTCTTCTTGGCAGGTATTGGATAAGCTTGTTCTGCTTGTAGCTACAAACTCTCCAATGGCTGGTGATTTTTGGGTCAGGAATGAAATATGGCAGCGAAAATGACAGAATTGCAGGGTCTGAAAAAAGGGAACTTAGCCTTTCAAAGGTTTCACACCCAAAGTTTTGGGGGGTACTTGCCTCCATCAGGGTGAAATCATGAAAGTATTTGACCTCATAAGATGTTGTGATATGTTTTTGGGACATATTGGATGGAGTGTAGGGCTTTTTAAGCAAACAATAATTATTTGAGGCAAAGGTAATGATTGTATAGCTGCCAGTGTCCTTCATCTGTTATTCAAGTTAATCTTTTCTCCTATACAGGTCCTAAAGTTGTGGGTATTGTCCTACACAGGGTCGATATGTTAGGTCTCCTATCCTAAACAGTGTCAGGGTTTCAAATCTATACCCAAACCCCCCACCCCCTGGGTCAGAGCACTCCACCATGGCAAAAAAGATGGCAGCTGTACATATTTTTACCATAACGCCTTACGACGTAACCCAGCCTACAGGGCACAAAGAAAGCCAATTTTTTTTACAATATTTGTCCCTGTACTAAGGACCTTGAGTAGCCTAGGTTTAAAGATTTTGTAACGTTTCTGTAGGTGCGCTAAGAGCTATCGGTAGATGTACGAGTCGCCATCTTTTTTCCTACAGAGGATTGCGCAATGTGACAATTTTACTGTTGAAGTAATTTTAAAAATTCTGTTTAATATAGAAAATAGCAACAGCTAACCTGGCAGTAGATAGATGTCCATTAAGTGCCATATTCCTATCCAGGAAGCCACCACTCCGAAACCAAGAATGTACACAAACACTTGTTCTAACGACCGGCTCAACGCAGAATATGGCGGATTGATGTTTACAGTTGATAAACACGTACTCAAAAAATAGCACCAACTCAATACAGAGTAACTCAGAATAATTAACGCAATCGATGATGACAATTTGTCGTTTAAGGGCTGCACTGCAGCGACAATAATGAGCCAAGTTCCTCGCCAATAGCTTATAACCGCAGCTCCAATAATGAACACGGTAACAAAACTGTTCAACATCCTCGCAGAAGTCTTCGTCCTAAAACATTTCTTTACTTGAAGAATTTTCTCCGGTGGATCAATATGTCTCTCGCTGATGCAATATCCCGGAATGGCAATAAGAGAATATGTGGTTTTCAAAGCTAAAACGATAAAAAATCCAACAACATGAGAGACAATGGCGCTTGTTAGAGCAGTGGTTGTATAAAGATCTAACATCATCCACAGTCCTCTCCACGATGTTACGCTTAAAAAGGCCAGAGGATAAAAGAGAACGAGATACAATCCTTTTCTCGCTTTCTTTTCATCTAAAAATTCTTTTATATAATCCTCCACTAACATGATCAGGAATATCGCTCCAAAGCTGGCTGTGACCGTCACCCAGGCACTGAGAACTTCGTCGTTTGGAAACACGAACAAGTCTAAAATGTACCATGTTCCTCGCCAATAATTTACTACTGCTGGTGTAATCAAGAATAAAATGAGAATCCAGTTGAGGAACGTCAACCAAAGCATTTTACATGTAAAACATAGGCCACCCAAACTCACAATGCTGGGAGTGTTATCTTTCTCTTTTGAGTCCTAAAGTGATGACGTCACAAAAATAAAATTTTTGAAATTATGGGAT